ATTTTGAGATCGGAAAAAATAGTTTTTAGTATTAAGGGTTTTAATTTAGTATTAGGGGTAAGCTTCGAACTGCCATTTTTGGCAATATTTTAATTGCGTTATATAAGGAAATTTAATTGATTTTGAGATCGGAAAAAATGGTTTTTATTATTAAGGGTTTTAATTTAGTATTAGGGGTAAGCTTCGAACTGCCATTTTTGGCAATATTTTGGTTCCCTAATAATAAATACCCCCCTAATACTAAAAACTACCTGCCGTGTTTTGTATTAGGGGGGGGGGTTTAGTATTAGGAGGAAGGGATTATCATCTTCATGTTTTCCTGCAAGTCACAGCAGTTCACAACACCATGACGAAGGCATTCCCCAGCGCTCTCCAAGGTCTTATGCAGGTTTGCATGGAAGATTCTGTGGGTTGTTGTTGCTTGGCTTCGTTTGATGTGTTGAGTGTAAAAAAAAAACAAGTCAGAAAATTGAAGCAATTCCTGTAGGTCATTGTAGTTGCAGTCTTTTGTCTGAACTAGAAACTAGAAACTAGAAAGTGTGTGTTTGCTTGACTGGAACTATTGGTGCACCAGAACTCACATGATGCATGTTCAAAACCCAGGGAGACATGATTGTTACTCTACGCATTATTTCGTGGTCGACGGACCAACTGCTTGCCTGTTTTCGGATGTGGTCCACCCAGCATTTCGGAAGATCAAAAATGGAGATGCCAGGCGAAGGCTAGGCATATTTCAAGGCAGAATCGTACTTACAGCATCCAGTCAGTACTGTAACGAATTTCATGTATTGTTGGTGGCTCATGTGCCCCTAATATCCCTTAAATGATGCTTGATGATTTGCGGGTGACCTTTGGGTGGCTGCCCGTCATCGCCAAGGCAATGAACACAACGCAAGGGGAAGATCCTGCGCTGGGACTGTGAAGTTTTCACGGCAACGTGCCAAAGGGTTTATTTGAGGTTGGGGGACTGCTTTTGGTAGTGGGTTTGTATACCCCAATGATTAAGAGGATACACCCAATTCATCCCAATTCCAATGAAGAATCATCATGTTCCGTATTAAAATGGATATTCAAGAGGGAACAATTAGTTGATCCATTGAAATCGGGAGTCAAACAATGATCATCCAGTCATCCTTTAGATGGCACCTGGAGCAGGGCTTTATAAAGACTCCAGTGCATATGGCTCATGATATGTTCACATTTTTTTCAGCATGTGGGTCAACGGAGGGTGTTTGTTTCCTGGTTTGCCCATACCTTGGGGCAGCGATCTTGGGGTGAATTCACGATCCGTCCATTGTATTTCAGGGAGTTAGGAGTTGCCCCCTAAAAGACACTTCTTGGCAATTTTGACACATACTGCATCCTGACCTTCATCCGTCGTACACTGTTCAGCAACTCAACGATTTTCATATCAGAAGTGATGCAATCTTCTCAGTTTTCCTCAGAAGCAATGCCAAAGCAGGATCTCCAAGAGATGCCTGCTGACTGTCGCCGTTGATGGCCAAGTCGTTCTACGACATCCTGGAGGTTGACAAGAGTGCTACATTGGAGGAGATCAAGTTGGCCTTCAAACGACGTGCGCTGCAGGTTCGTCCAGACAAGGGTGGCAGCAAGGAGGCCTTCCATTTGGTCTATCAAGCACTTGAGACCTTAGCTGACCCAGCTGCTCGCAAGAAGTACGACCATGGCCTAGCTACAGGGAAGTCTGGAAACTTGGTGCAACCACAACCAGATGGCCAAACAGGGAGGAAGAAAACTTCAAAGAAACGTGGCCGCTCTGCAGCAAGCAAGGCACATCCAAAGCCAGAAAAGGCTGAACGTCCAAAACCAAAGGCTGCTAGAGGCCAAGCTGAACCTGAATCAGAGACACCCCAAGCAACCCAGTCCAAGCAGACCAAGCTGTTGATCAAGATCCGTGATCTCTTGAAACAGTTGCCTCGAGATGTGCGAAATGATGTGTTCACCAAGCAGTTCTCCCAGAAGCAGCGGCTGATTCTGGAGAAATGGATGGTGGATGATGCGTCATCAAGGCCTCAAGCAGGCCCAGAGGCCAAGCTTCACCCAGTGGCTGTCGACACGACCACTTCAATGACTGAGGAACTGCATGCAATGGCTTTGCCAAGCAGAAGTTGCAATTCCATTGCCGTGCCCACACCGCCTGCAACGTTTGATTCAAGAATGCAAACGAGTACGAGGAGAAAAACGAAGCTGGATGGTAAACGCAAGATCCGGGACAAGATGAAAATGAAAACATCTGGCAAAAAGAGCAAAAAGGTCCGAAGTACGTGCGGCACAATTTCCAAAGATGGGAAAGTTTCAGAGAAGTGCTACAGGGCTCGCATTTGGTTTGATGCCACCGACCTATACACTAGAAGGGGCGATTTGCAAACTGCTTTGGAGTTTTTAGTGATTCTGACATCGGCAAAACAGAGGATGCAAAGTCATCCCACAGGCACTTCGTTCGAGCAGGACCTGGCAGAAGCATTGGAAGCAGCAGCCAGCGAGCAGGGAAGAACTGTGGCAGATCTCCAGCTACGCTTTGCTGTAACTATGACAACCAGCTTTTTCGTTGCACCAGGTTTCCAGATGCGCTGCCCTGCAGTGAACAGCATTGAACAGCTTGGCAAGGTTCGCCGAGTTTTGGAGCCGTTCCGTAAATACGCGGTCGGCCGAAATTTGTTTCGGCTGTATCCCCCAAGCCATTTGCAAATTGCTTGGGAGGAATTTCAAGGTGCAGTAGCTGATGCATGGGAGAGTGTAGGTGTAGACAGCGCACCTTTTCTGCGGAAAATTTGTGCCTTGAACGAAGCAAGCGCCCCTTTGCGCGAAAGAGGCTTGCAAGCATTGGAGCGTCGACATATGGCTTTGAATGACAGGAACATGCACCGCCCAAAAAGTTTGCGAGAGGCAAGCCGCAAGCCCTTGGAATTGAGGGAGAGGCGGCACATGGCCTTGGAGGACAAAAACAAACACAGGCCAAAGGCTTTGCAGCAAAGTACCACAGAGGATCTGGAATCCAAAGAGCGATGGCAGATGGCAAAGGAAGACAAGAACCGACACCGGCCCAGGAGGCTGCGGGAAAGATGCGACAACCAGCTTTGGGAGCGGAAGCAAATGGCCATGCATGACAAGAATAAGCATCGGCCACCGCGATTGAGAGTCCGTGTGGTCCGTTCTCATGAGGAAATTTTGGCCTCCAACCTTTCATTGCTGAAGAAACTCCTTCTGAGATGGGGGAAGATGCTAAAAAGAGAAGCCAGTTTAGCGGACCAAAAGCGTCGCAAAGGCTTGCGAGAACGGAGGAAAGTCCAACAGGAACGCAGACGATCAGAAGTCTTGAGCCAGCAGAATCAGAAGAAACGGCAGCGAGAAGAGGCGCGAAGGAAAACGGAATGGTTTCGCAAGAGAATGAGATCTGATCTGACAATGGATGATATCCTCACTTTTCGCGATGCTCATATTCCTGCACAACCTCAAAAAGGTCGCGCCCTGACTGTGGAATCTTTTACCTTCCGAGATCTTCCCAGAAACATTGGCTCACAACAATTTGGGGGAGGGCTCTTGGTCTTTTGAACACCATCAATGGAAGCATTCCATCGAATCATTTGAACATGATTTCACTAGCCATTAAACCCAGTCCATGCATGAGAGTTGGTAGATGTTGGTAGTCTGTGGCCCAGATGTTCGCTGCTCGCTTTGTATGCTGAGATGCCGTCTTCCATGTTTTTTTTTTTAATTGTCATGCTGCGCTATTCCGAAATATGGGTTGCATCTCTCGCATTGCTACAGTATCTATACTGCAAGGAACGTGCTATTGCAATGCGACAGTTGTCTCATAGCAATTTTATCTACAATATGTTTCAATTCCAGTATCCGAATCACCAGACCCATTTGCCCAATTTTGCCCATCAGATGGGCCACTGGCTCAGGTAAGTTGCACAAGATACAAGTTGCAAGGAAGATTGACATCTTTCCGTTCCCTGACAGCGGTGTATGCAAGAAAAGGATGCCCAACTTACCTTGGCAAGGCAACAACACCACGAGTAGCAGAAAGTGGTGCTGGATGGTGCTGGTTATTTTTTCCACTTCTTTTGAAGTTGTAACGGTGCATTTTGAAAGGCAGTGTCCCCTGTTTGACTGAATTCGTTTCCAGAGCATGTCATGAACCCTATCACAGGTGCATTTTCTTGCTCTTTCAGCAGCCATAGCTCCGGTTGCAAAGACTTTCCGGAGCTACTCACCTCTGTAGATAGAAAAATGTTCCTGGTGTAGTGTAGCTAGCAGCTATTACAGTTTCATGGAAGTTTGAACCCTGACGCAACATACTTGGTCGCGTTTTACTGTATCATGATTCACGTAGGCATATCGGCATGCCGCTTTCCACAGTGCGAAAAAACAACTTGTTTTTAGGCACCTAATCAAACCCGCGCTGAGTTGGGTTCGGAACGGATCCACTTTTGGAAACTTAGACTTAGCACATCACGTACTCCACTGCCTCCTTTCGAGTCGCCGGCATGCTGTGGGTCAACCACTGCCTGCGCTTGCATCATGGCAGAGATGCACGTGGTGGTCTCGACCCAAATAGCCACTTGTTGAAGGATTATTGGAGCCATCAGATGACGGGTGTGTCAGCAACCATCAACAGTTCAGAAGTCACAGGCAAAAGGTAGAGTGGTCTACTGTAGTTTATAATACTTTTTTTTTTGTTTTCTCTCACTTTTCCTTAATCCATTCCCTATTGACCGGAGCGTAAGAGCAGTGTAGCAGTGATCTCTATGAAAAACACATGGTTTGATCATGTTTGATCCTAATGGTGGCGGTTTATGCGGTTTCTCGTCACTTTTGGAAGCAGTTGGGCACAGAACCCTCCCAAACTTATTGGGAGATGTGAGATGTGCAAACATGTGCCTCCCAACTTAGCTGTACAGCATCCATTAACCCAACAAAAATATACAAAAATGTTTTATATAGTTTAGACATGTTTTTCAGAAGAAATGTCCATGTTATTCCATGAGGGTGTGGTTTGTGTTGTGAATCGGGATCCGCTCCTGCCGTGTGCCGTTGAGGTTGGGGACATCGAAGCAGAGCCCTTCTTTCACGGCCTTTGGGGAGGCTACCGCCAAGAGCTATCCTCAGATGGGTGAGATGTGGGGAAACTGAATTTTAAAGCCCTACTTGTTGCTGGTGATTTTTGAAAGTCGTCGAATTTTGGATGATTCAAGGATGATTGACCTCAACATACCTCAACTGTTGAAAGAGAGTTGAAGCTGCTTGGGCTGGAGCGAATGCGCAAACCAGATTTGGGTCCCTCAAAGACAGGGTATTTAAATGTATTTTAAAAAACAAGTTGTCTCCTCAGATCAAGCTGCATTTACTGCATCCTGAGGATTGGGATGGCGAGTTTGGCTTTCGATTTCTGGCAGATGCCACCTTCCTCATAACATCCCTTGACAGGCACAACAGGGCCGCAGGTAGAGTCAGTGACATGGGGAAGTGTCATTGCTGTTAGGTGGGAGCACAGTCAGCAAAAGAAACGCTAGGTACTACCAGACTCTTCTAAGATTGTTGGGCACAGTTAGTTGAACAGTTCTCATCGCTTCCTGCCAGGTATGTGACCTTTGAGAATGGTTTGCAGGAAGAAACTGCTGGAGACCCAGGGTGGAATGTCCCTGCGATGGAGCCCGCAGGAGACGGTGACGATGAGACTATTTTGGTTTGCCCTCCCAGAAAAAATGATCAAACAAGGTCAAAAATGAACACATGAACAGATGCGGCAGCCTGTTGCACGTTGCACCTTTTTCTGCATGTTTCTTGCGTCCATTCTCTCAGAGAAAATATGTTCCGAAGTTAGCTGGTGATAGTTGATTCGTGTTTGCCCATTTGGCACTCATGGCAAATCTCTCTTCCGCCGAACATTCTAATTCCAAACGGTCCAAATCCATGGAGCGGTCAGGTCGTGACCCTTTGGGAAGCTGATTCCCAGACGAAGCTTGCCAGCGTAGTTGCTGCTTGCCACAAGCTGGTCATAGCCGATGGGCTGTGGATACCATGACACGTGAAGCGAAGTGCCAAATGAGTTCGTGGGCGCTTGTGGTTTAGGTGGTTGTGATGTACATGTTGTTGGGAGGTCTTTTTCAAGTGAGGCGAGGCATGCGCGTCGCACATGATGTTGGAGGATTGCAGGGTTTCCAATGACAAGACAACAGGAATTCGGAGTGTTTCTTTGATTACGTTGAAGCGTGTTTTGGTACCAGCGAGTCGAAAGACATCGCATAGGAATGTCTAGGATGTCTAGGGCAGTCTAGGGGTCTTTCACTACTGACTACTGTTCTGCCCAAGGTGGGTCCTGACTCTTCTCTTCTGGATGGCTATGCCTACACAGAGGCCTGGAGATCCTGCCATGTTTCCGCATGTTTCCAGCCGCATCGCCGTGAGGTCTTCCCCCGAGTTGTAGCTCGACTTGGTCAGGAGTATCGGCTCACCCAAACGTGCTACAGAAACTTGGCGCTGAGCTGTACACACTGTACACCACACATATTTGACATCAGGGTGCAAACACACAGCCGATGGTGAGCAGCATGCAACAGCCATGGAATCCATCGCGCCGAATTAAGGAGGCATGAAAGATCCCTGGCCCGATGGACATTATGGCGCTGAGGATCTACACTCGCAAATGCAAGGCTTTGCGAGGCGAAAACTGCCGTGATTTGCTATGTACATCTATATGAACTACATGATACTAGATTCAGAAACCGCTTGCATGCCTGCACAACCCCAAAGTTCTGCAGGTATTTGGGAGGTTCCTTGGCTGCACGCGATCCTCAGTGCCAGGATTGGCTCACCTGTTCAATCGGTTGGGCTGAGGGACCAAGCTCACTGATTTCCAGTAGATGAAGGTGAAACAGTGAACCAAGACAGGGCCACTAGTGTTTTGTGAGTTTTGTGTTTCACATCTATACGAGTATAGCGGGGAGAATCTATCCAGATATAGTACTGTTGTGTCGAGGATGTGGCAGGTCATATCCCTAGACATTCCCCATTGCCCTGTAGGATTTCCAATTGGGCGAGGTGCGTACGACTGCCATGGCGGTTTTCCTTCTTTTTGCGATGCTGAAGTAGGGCGACGCGCTGGGAAACTAGGCTATAACTACCGATGCCCGTGGGTCAGCAGCAAATGACTCAAGCGACTCCCAAAATTGGCTTGCCAGTGGCTTACCTGGCGCTTCCAAAACCATGTTAGAGGAAGTGTTCCCTGAAGTGATTACTGCATAATTATATATAATTATATGACAGGCAGATGGAACACAGAATGCACAGATCAATCCTGTCGCTGTCGGAAGCAACGTGATTGCAGCGCTTCAGAGACTCCGTAGAGTTGGATTTAGGGTCTGGTTGCAAGGCGTATTGTTGTGGGAATCTGCATGCCGTTTTTGTTCCGCATCCAAGGATGTTGAACTTCAAAGCTATCCGTGGTATTGTGACTTGGCAGCCAGAAGCCACAATGTCATGCCACAAGGAACAGGTGCTCTCCATTCAGTTCAGCTATAAACAGGCGTGATCTCGCTTGTCATGGCCGCAGTCTAACTCCTCAAGAGGCCTTCTCACTCCCAAGTAGGATCAAGTACAATTACAAAAAATTGGGCATGTCGAGTGAAGGTCCAGCCCAGATGCAGCCTTTGGTCTTTGCACTAGTTGGCAAGACTGGGCATGGCAAAAGATCAACAGCATTCAACAGCCAATTCGCTATCGGCTTCAGAGAAGTTCCTGGCTGATGATGATTTCGAGTCAATCACAAGTGAGGTCAACTCGTTGGAGTATGTAGCAGGCAGTGGGCAAAGGTTCCTCTGTTTGGACACCCCTGGTGTCTTCGATACCAAGCTCACTGTGCCTGAGTTAGCAGCGAGGATTTCAAAGTTCACGCTGCAGGCACCAGAAGGGCTTGACGCCTTGGCTGTTGTCATTCGCAAGGGCCGCATGACGGAGGAGGAGTTATATAATTTAACTTCACTAGCTCAGATTGAACGTCTCTTTGGTGCTGAAGTCTGGAATCATGCTGTCACCATTCTCACGCACTGCAAAGATACGTTGGACAAGTTGAAGGCAGATTTAACCAAATTGGGTGAAAACCACATCTTGAACAAAATTATTGAGAAGGCCAAGCACAGAGTTGGCAAAATTGACAATGTGACTCGCAAGCCTGAACAACTACGGATACTACAGGCTGATGTAGATCACATACACTTGCTCCTTGCACGGGTTTCCATCGAGAAATGGGAGAATGGCATTGCCGTGGGTGCTGCCGCAAAGCCTAAGGAGAACCAGGGATGTCACATTAGTGCACAAGGGGAAGTCCATGACCTGGCTGGATGATGCTGGATTGCTACCCTATGAATTCTATGAGCACCCTTGCTGTGCAGGCAGGCTGCGTAAATGAATGTCATGTGCAACATGTGAAGGCACATTGAAGGCGCATTAGATTCCGGGCGGAAGAATCAGGTCTAGGGAAATTACAGAGCTACACGGCGGCAGTGTTGGGAAAAAGATCCGGACATCGAACTGAAGGAGCCAAGCGCACTTGTTCCTGGCAAGCTGTCATAAGATGTTGTAAGCATTCACCAGTAAAACTCATGCAGATTCATGCAGTGTCTTGTGAACTTTTTAACGCATTCGGTCACGTTCCCAAGGCAACTGTGCCAATACATCCGCAGATGACCATGTACGAGCCTGGCACCTAACATCAGGTCCGCGCAAAAGCAAAGGAGAGTCATCAGTTTTGATCACGAATTGACCAAGGCTGAAGCAGCAATTAGAATTGGCCACTGGTGTGCCACCCATTCAACAAGAGCAGCTCAGCAATAACGGCTCCTGATTATGGAGCTGGTTCAATTTGGAGACTTCAAGTGTGAGAATGTGATTGCTGGAGGGGAATAGCGGTTTTGGGTTTCCGCCTAGTGTTCTGGAGCTTGCAAACAGATCGATATACAAACGATTTCAAACGTTGGGATTTCCAGCAGATGAATTCATTCCCGGGGTCAGTTTGTTGCCACTTTTGTGTACTTTTGTCATTTGCTTCTGGATCATGTCAGATTTGTTCGCTTTGTGTTCGACGGTTTCTACCTCATGAACTTTGGTTGCTTTAATGTCACACCAGAGCGCCAAACAGTTGTAACTCAGGTTGTCCTGCAAGCTGAAGCCCCTATCAGACAACAGCTCCACCATCAGCGGTGAAGGAGTGACTTGGAATGACCTGGAGGGTCGCATCAATATCTCCATCTGGGACCAGCGGCAGCCAGTCGAACCATGGAAATGTTCTGTTTGGATTGAACGGAAGGATGGAGTTTGAGCAAGCTGCATTGGGACTTTGGACATGCTCTGGCACCAGTCAAGCCCCACCGAGATAGCCAATGGTGAACTACTGATTCTGGCGGTGCGAGTGGCTTAGCGGCATCAAGTTCTTGGTTGCTACATTCTCCGTTTGATTTACATATCTACCAACTGATCATTGATCCCTGGGTTTGTCGATCTAAATCTTTTGTATTTGTCCTTGTGAAGGAGTATCCCTAGGGTAGGGTGCCTGCAGAGTGCCCAGGCGGGCTCCTTGGTGGCGACTGCATCCAGGGATGGCACTGCCAGGCCATGGCGCTGCAAAGGTTCAAACTTTGTGACATACAAAGACTACAGATATCTACAGATACAAAGGCCAAAAAAGATCAAAAAAGTAAACAACACAGTGCCCACTAGTTCACAATTACTACCGTAGTTCTCTTTGTTTTTGGTCAGCCAAGCCCAGTTTGCTGGATTTTTTTTTTGAGCGTGTGGTCGGCATTGATACCTCCTGTGGCCAAGTGCATGAAGTGGCTTTGTGGGATTCGCTTGCTGTAGCTGTTTCAGCAAAAACGTGGTTCCTGTTAGAACTGTCGTTGGTGACATGGTGTTTCGATTGCCTTGGAGTTCCGGCCGATTTTCTGCAAGAAAACCAGCTTTGCAACAGCATCAGCAGAGCAACAGAGAGACCGTGTGTGACACGAAATTCAAGGCCCTGAACTTCCAGGAGCAAGACGCCAATCCAGAAGTGCAGCTGAAAGAAGCAACGACCAAACGGCTTTTAGATCAAGAGATGACTGCACGTGAGAAGGCACAAACCTTTGTGGCCATGTCCGGGTTTCCAATGCCATTCTTGCCATGAAGTCTAGTGACTCTAGTGAACATATCTAGATCTTCCATGATCTTCCATGATCTGCTCGATTTAATTGTACAGTGTCTGACTGATAGACTTTCTCCGCCTTGAGCCGTACGTATTGTACAGGTCCCTGTTCACTGTCATCCTGCCATCCTATGCCATCCTGCCCACAGCATAGCGTCACTTCAGTCACCTTCGCCAACATTTGCATTGGGAAGGTGACTGGATTTGGAAGTGTGTATGTAAAGTCCTGTACAGGCGGCGTTGAACCGCGGCACCGCGGGCAGATGACCAAAGATGGACCGACATGGACCGCGGACATCCAAAAAAAGGGGCCATTTGCAGCTTCCATGGTGTTGAGCACGTCCTGCACAGCATCATACGTGGCAATGGCATGATATGGCATGCAGTTGTACCTGTGGGCCAGGCTTTGGTCTGTGGAGTCGGGTGAGTGCCTTTGCTGAACATGCAGTAACCAAGTCAGAAATGACCTGAAATGACCAGATAATCCAGATAAACAAACCATAATAAAGCATTTTAAGCACCAAACTTCCGCAAAAATCTTGGCTCTTGTTGCTCGTTCTTTCTCCCCATTGTATCGTTTTCTTGATGGGTTATTAAAATAGATTGGTTATGAACCACGGCATGGCTGCTTTGTTTGTATGTTTGAATCTAGGCGTCTTCAAAGATTTTCAAAGAGTGCATAGGCAGAGAAGTGTGAGATCTTGAGCAACATCCCTCCAACTGTCCAATTTGTCAGCTGCGTTTGCACAACATGCGGAAAGACCTGAGTTTTCTTGATCGTAAAATGTATCCCATACCTTGAGCCTGTCGGTTTGAAGCTTCGGTTGAGTCACTGGGAGGTGCTTGCGGATCTTGTCGGGGCATGCTGATGCTGTTGTGGATGTGGACTTTGCACCTAGCGGCAGCACAGTGCTCACAGCATCCAAGGACCAAGATCGCCGAGTTCCGAGAGCCATTGCCAAGTTCCAATTGATCGTGATCCAACTTGATCCGGTAAACCTAAGAATACACCATCCCCAATATCACATAATATATATCGAAGGTCTGCGCCAAGGTACTTTCTCGTTTGTGGTCTTGCTCAGGTCAAGTGTCTGTCTCAAGGATCCCCATTGAAACACGACGGACGACGAAAGACGACAAAGAGAAAAAAACGAGCAAAAGGGTTTCAAGGGTTCCTCTACGGGACCTCCGGGGGAAGAAATTCCAAGGGTTCCTCTCCGGGACCTCCGGGGAGAAAAAATAAAAATAAAAATTTTAAAAAAATTAAGACGGGCACATACCATTGAGAAAAACACATAGCATGTTTTATGCATATTTGCAATGTTCGGTCGCAAGTGTTCTTCCCCGGGGTATGGGTTTGTCTCCGGGATTTCATTTTATTTTTTATTTTTTTGGCAGCCTTGAGCGCGAACCTTCACTGTGGGAAAACACTTGGCCTTGAGAAATCCTTCGAACATGGGAAAATTTTCCGGGAATACGGTTGGGAAACCAGGACCTTTGAGGAGGGGAAAAAGAAAGCACCTTTGATACAGGGAGGAGGGTTGAGACAGGCACATACCATTGAGAAGGTAGAAAACCCTTCGTCCAGACTTTTGAATATATATACTATAACTGGTGCAAATCATCCCCAAATGGAGAGACATGTTATATTGATTTATATAACTTATATAATGCGTATATATATAATTATATATAATATATATATTATACTTAGTATGTCTTATTATATTTTTTTTATTTATATTTATAATATAATATACATACTTATATATGAATGAGTTTAGAGTTTAGACACTTCTTCAGGTGTCAGGCCGTGATGGCCAGTGATGGCCGCCAGGACAGAACGGCCCGCCTTTGGACCGTGGAGACTGGAGACTGCGCAGCGAAGTTGGAGGGACACACTGCACCAGTCCCTGGGATCGCCTGGATTCGCCTGGCCCCCCCGAAATCTGCCAAGCTTGCGGTATCCAAGACCTAAGAGGCCAATTTTTTTAGCCAGGTTGATTCAACTTCTATCAATTTCTATGTTTTTTGGTTGGGCCGTCTCCTATCTTAGAGCTTGTGAGCTGATTGCTTGCGCTGATTTTTAAGATAGGCATGTTCCGAAGCGGGTTACAAAGATCAGTGTCAGATGAGACTTGCAATGAACAGATGGAAACGATGGGATAATTATAAAATCAACAGCAAGCATGGCGCTAATTATGGGTAGGTAGGCTTGCCCTGTTGGCCTTCATGGGCTACTATTTGCTTCAAATAGGTTTCAAATATATGTGAGAAATCTATTGGAATCTAGCTTCAGGATGCACCAACCATCAACAGAAGCACCTCTGCGCACATTCGGTACAGGTGGTGCGTGCTGCCTTCGCACCTTCAGGTCCCAAGGGATGTGTTAAGTTCTTTGTTGCCAGCCGGGAATGTAGTCACAAAGGCTTCGTTTTAAGCCTGATCATTTGAGCCCTCATTTGATCTTCAATTCTTGAGGTGTTCACATGTTCGGATTCTCCATGAATTATTTGAATCTTGCTCTTGGAGTGGTGGAGAGATCCTGTGGCAAAGCAGCGACAGCTGCAGTCCCGCAACGTTCTGCACCTGGCGTGTGCTGGAATGCTTCAGGTGCTCAAGTTGTCACAGCCTCACAGGATCACACAGCAAGGGCAACTTGGAATGTGTTGAGAGACAGGGTATGAGTTAAGGATGTCAAGGGCCAAAAGACACTGGTTGGTGGTTTGGAACATGAATTTTATTTTTCCATGTATTGGGAATAGTCATCCCAACTGACTTTCATATTTTTCAGAGGGGTAGGTATACCACCAACCAGGACAATGGCAAATGAGCTCTGCAAAAAATCTGGTCATGTCAAGGTGTGGATGATTGATGGTACTTGCACCCAAGTCTTGGACAAGCACCTGGGGGCTGTGGTGAATGCCTGCTTTTCGCCAGATGGTTCCAGAATCATCACTGCGACTCAGATGCACGGTTTCAGTCCCTACCAGTCCCTACCAGTCCCTACCAGTCCATACCAGTCCCTACCAGTCCCTACCAGTACTTGATGGATACCTGGCCATACCTGGCAATGATATGCCATGATGCTGCTTGTTCAAAGGGTCATCAAAAATGAAAAGTCATCAAAAGTCTCAAATGCTACCCTTCGTCAAACAAACATAGCAATAGGACATCCCCTACCAATGGAGGCTCAATGGAAAAATCATCTATGTCATGGGGCATATGCTCTTGTAAGTATGGTAATAGTAATAGTCTACTAAGATCTACTAATAGTAAATAGTATACTGCCATGTTTGATTGCCGAATGATGGAATTTACAGAAATGTCATGCCGTTGGTGTCGCCCGAGGCCTCAACTGATTGCAGCACTCGGATTTGGGACCCCACCTTTGGTGACTGCCTGCTGACACTGAAGGGCCCAGGCAGTGGAGACCCAACTGCCTGCTGGTCACATCCTGTTTGTACAGCGGGTTCTCACGTGGGGGTCTGTTTCTGACCGATTCTACACGTTTGTCTATATATGCAGAATATTGCTGAATATTCATAAATTAGCTTAATACACACACACATATATATATAATATATCGATATATATATAATATGGCCATATAGCTATAATTAGAAGGTGTAATTACCCATGATGACTTATGGTCCAGTCATAAAACATGTGCTGTTGGGCCGTTCTCAGTGGCAGGTGGTGGCATTGTGGTGGCCAAGATTTCCCCAGACAGTTCACAGGCACGAGCTGAGTCCTTTGGGTATATTTTGTAAATACCATGGCATGGTGGTTTCCATAACCGAGGGATCCCCAAAATGGATGCTTTACAATGGAAATTCGTATTAAAATGAATCATTTAGGAATTTAGGGGTTCCCATGGTTCCCCATTTTCGGAAACCTCCACATATTCACATGCAGCATTTGCAGATCTTGAGTGCTGCCATCGGCACCCAGGGAGTCCGGGGGCTCAGATTGCATGATCATTGCCACACAGATGCGATCTGAAAGATTCTGAAAGGAACCCAGCGACACACTGTACCTCATGTCAATGTATCCTAATGTGAGAATTTCCGGACTGAAGCCCAAATCAAGAAAGCTACCGGTATTGGTACCTATCCGGAGTTTTGTTCTTGCTTTGGCAATGCACGGGCGCTTGTGGCTCAACATATCAAGTACCCCTTCCTCCACAGCGTCCCCTCCTTGCTCGTTTCTTCTTCCTTCTCTTCTTCCTTCTCTTCTTCCTTCTCTTCTTCCTTCTCTTCTTCCTTCTCTTCTTCCTTCTCTTCTTCCTTCTCTTCTTCCTTCTCTTGCTTCACTATTTCTTTCTCTTCACCAAGCAGCGTTTCTTCCCAAAGCATTTGCTGATCATGCATTTGGGAGACATTGACAAAATGATGTACTGTATATATATATATAGATATATGTATATTATATGTTATATCTTGTCTATAAGTTTAAAGGTTTAAAGGATGATGGCTCTCGACATGGATTGCAAGCAGTCAGATCTCCATCCTCCTTTTTCCTTTTCTCTCCAATATTTAATTTCAGGAGTTTGTTTGTGCAGTTTACTTCAAGGGATTGTGCCTCCCGTGGTGTTTTGAGTTCTTAGGTTTCTATTTGTTCATTTTGATATCATTCGAACCTAGCTCTGAAATTGTTTCCCAGCATGAAGTTCCCAGCATGAAGCCATCCATCTTGCGTGTATTGTTCATTGCTTTTTGGTGTCTCGGTGCCATCCAGCTTTCTCTCGCTGGTTTGCGGCATGTTTATACCTGACATCCCTTCGAGACGTCGTGAAAAATGGCAAGGTCGTTGTTCACGATGCAGCTACTGGGGCCGTTCTGCAGCTCGCAAACCCAGGGGATAGCCACGAAGGTTTTGCGCAGTTGACAAGATCTGCACCTGAGTTTTACCAGGTCTCTTGCAGTTTGTTCTGATGCACTTTGCTTCGTTCCTGCTTCACTAAGGAAACTTGCGGAGGGCCAGCCAGAAGCTTTGCTGATGGTCCATTTTTGCATGGGTCACGAAGTGCGGGACCACGTGCATACCAAACTACTGTTGTAGAAGCAACTCATAATGTTGAGACATCTTCATTTAGCACCACTCTTTGCATTCCGTGCTGCGTCCAGCATCTTGCCTCTTAATGCTTTGCCCAGGCCGGTTCATGATGCTGTTGGGGCCTTAGCAGTGCAAAGTCAGAGGAACTCAAGCTGCCGATATTTCCAGTGCGGTTGGTTGAATCATATCCCCCAGAATTTACCAGAATTTGTTGCTTGTCATATCATTCTTGTTTGATCTTATTTGTATTGTTATTTCTCCAATCTTTTGGCATCCCTATATGTTACGGCTGTTACGGTATTAGATGAGGACACAGGTCGCCAGGTCCAGGTCCAGGTCATTAGATTGATCTCGCTTCTTCCAGGCGTTTTCACCTGATGGATGTTACATCATGGCAGCCTGCTCGATTCCTATGGTCCTACGATTCATTAGTGAAATGTGCAGGGAAAGTTCCATGAAACCTTTATATGACAGTTTGTGCAAACCTGCGCAAGCTTCGGCAAACGAAGCGCTGTTGTACCTGTGACTATCATCTTGGGTGCTCCAGAGTATCTTGTAGTCCTCAGTGCTTTAGTTGGCTGCTACTGTCCAAGCCCAGGCTGCGACTGGAAAGTCCGCATTTGGAGCACAGCAACCTTCAAGTGCTTGCAGGAGCCTACAGTGGACACTTGGACCTGACTTGTCAGGTTGTCACAATGTACCACAAGGTGAATGATTAGTGGTTGATAGTGATGCCTTTTGCCAACGTTTAGTGAAAGTACTGCGATTTTGGTGTCCGCAGATTCCATGCAAACCAGGAGTTGCCTCATGAGGGACAAGTCCTCTCGAGCACTTTCTCCGCCGACGGCTCTTTCGTTCGGCGCACCCAGTGCGTTATAGTGCGTTTGATGGCTGTACATTGCCCAAAATATCCCAAAATGACATGCACGGTGGCATGCTCATGCTGGGACGAGTGCATAGGACAGTCCAACATCAATCAGTCCAGATGAAAATCCTATAGCAAACATAAATCATAAGATATCATAAGATAAAACATATCTCCAGGTTCCACTATATCACTATGACGAACCATGGCCCAGCTTTCACAGCTTTCAGGCTGTCACTGTTTGCGCAGACCTGACTGCTCTGGTTTGGCGCGTGGCGACTGGGGAGTTGGTGCACAGCTTTGTTGGGCATTCAGGTCCTGTGCCGGGCTCAGGCCACAACCAACAGACTTGGGATGGGTTCAAGCAGCTCAGCTGAGTTGAAGGATGACCCCGTGAGCATATGCGAGCCAAGGTGACCACTGCGTCCTTCAGTCCTGACAGCACCCGTTTGGTCACAGGCTCTGAGGATTGTTGTGGGCGAGTTTGGGACGTGCTGCTGGCGTGATTGGTGCAGCTTGTGGGCGGGCCTTCGGCGCAGCTGTGAGTGGTTTCAAGATTGTCTCAGCAGCTAGGTGGTGAGTGGAAAATGTGCTGTCATGCTCTTGGGCCATGAGGTCTGAAGCTTAGTTTCCAAGCTCCAGTGGGTTCAAGTCCCATGCCCATGCAATCTCATGCGCGAATTCATTGCAATTTTTCTTCAGGTACCGTATCTTGCTGGATCATGCTAAGCTGCTCATGGGTGACAATAGTTATCTTGGAAAAAGAACGATAGGATAGATACTAGTTATGATAAGCCGGCAGAACCGAGGCGAGGTTGGAAGCCACTTGTATTTCACCTTGATCATGGAAAACAAATAATTGAAAAATCGATAAATAAAAATGGAAATAAATTACTTTGCTTCGAGTGATCCCCACCATGACATTTCAAAACAGCTTGTTGACACCACTTTTGTCTGAAGCTTTTGTCAAGTGGAAATGTCTCTGTCCACCCCAGTGACTCTGTCATCTGTTCAAACTGATTGCTTTAAACTTTGCCACCTGCAAAGTAAGAAGTGGCATTGCCCCGGTCACTCTACCACACACGCGCGAGTTTGCAAGTAATATATAACATACTTGTCTGACATTCTTTCTAACTTTCTTCTGCACATTCTTTGTCCCATATCTTCCTACATGAGGTCCGGCAGGGAACACTTGGCGTGGATACTCGCGGTTGAGGTCCGGCAGGGAACACTGGGCATGGATGGTCGTGGTTGAGGTCCGGCAGGGAACACTGGGCGGGGATGGTCGTGGTTGAGGTCCGGCAGGGAACACTGGGCGTGGATGGTCGTGGTGGAGGTCCGACAGAGAACACTGTGCGTCGAGGGTCGCGGTTGAGCAGGAGGAGGAGGAGGAGAGGAGAGGAGGAGAGGAGCAGGCAACTGACATAAAATCTAACAACCCTCACCTGGCAGGTGGGGAATTACTTATTCTCAATTCCTAAAATATTAAAAAAAAACAATTGTAAATTATAAATCTATAAATATGTATAGATAAAAAATCGGAAAAACATGCCTATCTACCAAATGATATCAAATAAGGATTTCTAGATCGGGGATTATATAAAATATTATTTATAAATATTTATAATTATAATTATAATATATTTAGCATGCCGGTCCTTCCAGAGAAGTTGCTGCAACCCGTTCGTTTGGAGAGCGGCTTTGACATGAGCTGAATGACATGGGCTGCATTCCAGCAGTATTGCGCAGCACCTTCACTCTCTATGGCAAATTTGTCGTGGACGCCACGTGAAGGATTTTGTTATGTTTTGTTTCGAGTGCGCATTGCTGGACCTCAACCTGCGAGCTGCCCAGCTCAGTGTGCACCGCTGGACCTCAACCGGGGACCTTCCCAGTTCGGTATGCACTGCTGGACCTCAACGGCCAGATAGAATGCCAAAAGATATGCTAAATAGAATGTCAGATAGAATGCCAGAAAATATGCCAGATAAAATGCCATGAGATATTCCAGATAGAATGCCAGAAGAGATACCAGATAAAATACTATAAGATATGCCAGATAGAATGCCAGAAAACATGTTAGAGAGAATGTTAGAAGATATACTAGAAGATATATCAGATAGAATATCAGATAGAATGCTAGAATATATGCTAGAAGATATGCCAGATAGAATGCCAGAAGATTTACCAAAAGATATGTGAAATAGAATGCCAGATAGAATGCCAGGTCTCTGTACGCCTGGCGGGGGGGTGTGCAGGTTCCTTTTCCTACGTCAAGTGATTCCTTACCCCTTGGGCAATGTTTGTTATGGTTTGCTCCCTACGGGAGAGTGTCACTATTGGGAGGTTTTTTTCCTCTTAAAGAGGTTTTTCCTGCTGTCAGCCCGCTCAGCCCAATGTCCGGCTGGAGCATCATCACACCTTTCCATATCCTTAGGGTAACTAGAATGCGAGAAAATATACGAAATATATTAAATAGAATGCCAGAAGATTTGCCAGTAAGAAAATGTATAAATGTTATGGTGGAAATTATACGAAATAAAATAATTAAATAAAT